GTTCTTGAAAGTTATACAAACACCGCAAAAAGTTCCAACTTCTCATCAGTTCATTTGTGGCATTGTGTAGGCGTGAATTCAGAAGGGATGTTCCGCGACGCGCATAAGCAGGTCACACCTCATCTACTGATTGGCGCATCAGCCCCATGCTTTCAAACAATATTTTGACACAAGTTCACCACCAAAACGGCATAGTATTAGAGTGTTCGAAAAGTTTTGAGAAAATTGAGCCGGTTTTTTTAACACAAAATAACTACAGCAACGAACTTAGATCAGTGATCAAGATAGTGGCCCTTCCTGGCCACAATGTCTCTCAAGCAACCGGACAGGGCGTTGACGCCATTTCTCCAGATAGAATAGAGGCGTGGCGCAATCCATTCACCTACTACCTACTTGACTTCTCGACAGTTAGCGGATTTTCTCCCTGTGGAGCAGGCCTATGGGCCTCTGAAAGTATGGCGGTCATATAGGCTGAGGTCAGGTGAATATGTGGGAAGCGGGTTAGTCAGGGTATACCAAGTCTTTCCTCATCCATCGACGTCCTCGCGCGAACTGATCGGGCATTATCCATTACAATCGGAAATTTCCTTGTAAACGGTGTGAAATGGGAGTTGGAAGCACCGCCTCTCTCAGTCGGTAACAGGACACCCTTGCGTTTACAGCAGTACACTTGCGATTTCCTGTGTGGATTTTCATATGACATCTACTTTATATCCTGAGCAACGATGGAGTCGGTTGACGTCGTCGTTCGCTTACAGTCGAGGAGCGCCTGACAAACACTGACTCGCACTCGACACTCCTGCTAAGTTATGGATGTGCGATATTTGCAAAGAGTTCTAATTTGAAAGCGACTTTTGCGTAGAATGGATTAGGGAGTAGAGATCGTTCTCTCCAAATCCTGCCATTTTAAACAGCATTGCACTGACGGGAGGCCAGAACAGTGTCGGTATTTGAGGGCAGTGGACGTTCGAGTCGGCGAACTTCGTCGAAGAAAGCTCTCCCTAGAAAAAGCGATCGCGACAGTTATGGTAGGTGACAAGAGAGGGTCACTGCTGCCAATCAGTCACCGTATCTCATTCCAAGCTTGAATGTCAAAGTGGACTAGTTTCGTAATGGAGAAACAGAAGGCCCCGGTAGTCGTATCGCCTCGCCGGCACATCGTTTGGTCTACGATTACACACTTCAAACGACCACGTCGAATACCGATTAGTTATAGCACTGATCTATAAACAATGCCCCTTTCCCTGCTATCAAATTTATGTCCTTCTTTAGCGCGTTCGCCAGCAACATGCTTTCAAAGTTGAAAGACAAATTTTTTTCAAAACTTCCCGGACACCCTAATATTTTGCGACCAAGCGCAGAGGGCAACTCTTAGTCTCTACATACTCCAAAAACCCTGGTATGGGAACTTGTACCTAAACGACGTCGCGCAGCACTTGTCGCGTGTCGGAGTGCGCAGGGTAAGGTTGTGGTGCGTACCAGGGGATGATTACGGTCACCTCGTTAGCGCTGCTAAGCATTTCTGCGACCGCGGGAATTCCATGAAGTCATTTGCGTGAAAATCCTTTTTGATGCTCATACACTTTAGCCTTTTTTGTTATTCTACCCAAAGCTCGGACCCGAATGAATAATCTGTTTGTAATAAGAAAGTTATATACCAGTCTAATGACTCACCGATTTACACACGCAAAGTATGTACGGACAGCTCGGTGCATGGTTCTTCAGAATCACTTTTTCACCATGTCCTTCACATTTTCGGCAGTACAGAATCCGTGTCTTTACCGGTGTAGCCATTGGAGATGCTGACGTTGCGCCAATTTCTGGAGACGATGTATCCAACGTTATGACAATCGGAGGAAGCATTTGATCGCTGGGTGTCATTTTAGATGACAGTTTCTGTAAGCACACAATCTCTTATACGATTACAGCAAGACAAAATGAGTAGAAAAAAGCTGATCACGAAAGAATTCTCGTTTAGGCGGAGAAGACGTAGACTCCAGAAGATATCCAATCATAATCGTAAGGAAAAATGATTGTGGAGGATGAAACATGGCGCAGCAAGCTCTGATATTTGATAGCAAGGACCAGGAGTAACCCTGGCTTCAATTAACCTTGTGTTGGGGTTCGTTCCCAAATTCGATTTATAACTGAAACTATTAGAGGTGTCAAATGATCTGTACAGTTCGTCTCACCCAAGAA